GGGAGTTCGCTTTTTCCTTCAGATCTATTTGACGGATGTCAATCGATGTCAGTGCACTATTTCGTCAGAGCAGTCAACACTGCGTTGTATACACCACAGTGCTGAACACTTTCTCGGAGTCGACGAAGGCGATGCATGAAGGCAGCTGATATTCCGTAGTGCTCGTGGAACTGATTTAAAACAACGATATCATATCATTTTTCACTTTCCAGGCATCAACTGACCCTAATGATACAGCCGTAAACAAGTTTGAAAAAGTCCGCTGATCATTTCAATTTTCAGAACGCCTCTCTGGGGATCTTCCTTTTTTGATTTTCTGTACAGTACGTCGAACTTCGCCCATGAAGACCAGCAATTCACTTCCTTCTGGTTATTGGAATGTGAAAGTCTAGAAGTCGTTGACCATATCTTCCATTTTATACAAAAATGCAACATGTTAGGCGTTACTATTTAACTATTTGTCTTTATCCATATTATTGGAGATATAATATTTATAACCATTACGCATTTACTATAGTGAGACATTATTTCATGTGATGCATTGAACGACTATAAAAAAAGCTGAGCAAAATCCGAAACCTAGAGAAAGTGAACTATGAAGAACAGGCACTGACTCAATGAAAAAAATGGCATTCATGACGGACTACTTCATCATTTGGAAAAGAGAGGCAATGTCAATAAATGAGTAAGGATGTAAAGCTATAAATTGCAATCATCTTGCACATAGTTCCATCACAGGAAAAAAGACAACAAATCAAGAAATCAGTTTAAACAAGCTGGCTGAAATTGAAAACATAAGCAAATTTGCTGCTTAACAAAATGTCTCTATAACTGAAAAGAAAAACTCCATAAATTCGAACAATAACATGTAATTCTACGCGAAGCAGAATGTTTAGAGACAATGAAACGCGCATTTCAGAGGGATATGTGATGTAGGCAAGAAGAACCACGTTGAAAAGACCTTCATACCGATAGCCCATTAGGTTTACAAAAAAGCTAACCGAAGTCAAGCATCGCGTTGGTTCGGCCACGGAAAATAACACCTGATTAGCACATAGGAAATATGGCCGAAGAAACGATAGTGGCAGTGAAATGAAAAAAAAAGAAAACGAAAGAAATTATTAAACGATGGTCTATAGTACGACGAAAATGAGAAATTCGACTGAAAATCTTACAAAGGATAGAAAAATTAGAATTATGCTGAGAATCAACTCGAACAGTGCTTTCCTGTTCAAGGAAAATGGAGAAGACAAGGAAAAAACAGAAAAGATGTGAAAGGAAAGAAAAAAGATAACGAGAAAAAAGGGAGTGAACGTTTAAATTAAATGGTTTTGAAAATCAACTACTCTACACCTCATTCGACAAGCAACATTTTAATCGCATACTAGTTGTGCGTAAAACTATAAAACTTAATATACGTTAACATTAAAGATGACAAAAATTGGTTCATCTTGCGTTGGAGGTGAACAGTAGCTGAATAAAAGCATTCACCTTGGAGTTATACAGAAAAAAAAGAGCTTTCGAACCATGGAGATCGTGACGTCATTTTGGACAGAAACCTTAACAAATGGCACTGATGTTCTGTTTAAAATGGAATCTTTTCAAACAAAGATATCGCAGAGATTACAGAAGGAAGGTGTGAAGCGAGAAGTGCAAGACAGATGAATTGCAGTTTATTTACAAACAATCAACATACTTGAGTGGTGGCATCCCAACCATTTTCCAGACAAACGGCTACAGACGAATTCTGCAGATCAATCACATCCACAATGGCATTTGCGATATGCAGCAACGATTGGATCTGTCGAAAAAATGGTGCATCACAAGCACGTAACCATTAGACTTAAACCTCACCTGGCGATGCCAGCCGCTCTCCTCCAGAGCTTTGAGGGGAGAGTAAGGGCCATCGCTGATCATCGGCAATGCGGCAGGAACCACTGCACGAAGAAACTTCTTAAACACCTCCTTGATCATATGCGTCTGGGGATACTCAACAGGCACAAACTCGCATTTCGGATCAAGCTTCAAAATCTGAACGAAAGATTCGCCAGTGTAAATATGAACGTTTATATTTGAAATCGTACTACCTTTGACTGGTTTTTGTCACCGAAAATGTACAGCGAAGCTCTATGCATGATTTGTACCGCACTCGGAAGTGCCTCCTGCGAACCGTAACTGCCAATGCTGAGTTGGCTGTGGCGATTGGTCGTGAAAGTTGAAGAATGCAGCGAACTACCGTTAGAATGGTTCGCTCGCAAAGTTCCTTTGTTCCAGATCACTGGAAAACATGATGAACATGAAAAACATGAAAAATGTGCTATTATTTGCGTCTCTCAAAATGGCAGCGTACTGCAGATTAATAACTTAAGTAATTTCAAATGCGAAAGCTTCAAAAAATGAATATGAGGAAGAAAACCCAAACACATTTCATTCTTGACTACGTATCAAAAATGCATGTAAAAACGACAACTAATACAACGTATCAGCAATTCTTTTCTGAAGGATATATCAGCAACAGAACAAAAAATGAGATATTTTTAAATATAAACCAACAACAGATAACTAAAATTACCGAATAACCCTAGTAGTAAAACTAGGAACAACTGTTAAAGTTTACAGCTGTGATAAAAGTGAGCTTAGCGACAGCGGAGTGGTAAATTTTTTGAGATCATCAGCCTTAAGCGTTTACATAAGCAGAAAGTCCATGCAATGTGATATTTACAACAGCCACAGCTTTTCATCACTATAAGGCACGGGTTACTACATCGTAAAAAAAGTATTCTTCTTCGACAGAAGTTATGTCTCTCCCTTGTTCTTCTATATTACATGTGGGCCTACTGGTCGACGTCTAGCGTTCTTCAGCTTTCACACGAGAATTTCGTAGGCAGGAATAAAAGGCATCTGATAAAGCAATTGGTTTAACAATGCAATGCTAACTTCTTTTCCTGCATTTCCCGGTCGACGTCGACTCGGCTACGAATCTTATCACAAAGCGCTGGAGATCAGTTTCAGCAGATTCCCATAAAACGAGGTCGACCGCAAACAGCAACCCACACGTCTCAAAATCTACGCTGTTACACTCGTGGCCCTGAACGTACAGCACAAATAGGAGAGGGGAAACCGCGATTTTGGTGGAGACCAGAGCCAACGC